CCTCTTTCTTTCCTCCTCTGCCCTTTCTCCCTTCCTCCCCTCCTGTCTTATTTTTCTTCTCTTTCCTTTCTTCTGGCCCCCTCCCTCCATTCTTCCTTTCTCCTCCTTTCTTTCCTCTCTTCCTTCCTTCCTTCCATCCTTTTTTCTTTCTATTCCTTCTGTTTCCTTCCCTCCTAGGGTTCTTCTTGGAGAGAAGAACGAATGAAAAAAGAAAAAAAGGAGGGAAGGAAGGAAAAAGAGAGAGAGAGAGAGAGAAAGAAAGAAACGTGCCTACCGTCCCTGTCCTATTGTTTCTTTTTATATTTTTCTTATATGTACCCATTTCATGGATTCATAACTGTGTTTATACTTATACCGTTGTGCGCTTATTCTCCTCACGACGGGGAATTACCTCAACAGAGGCAATTTTTTTACTCTACAGCGTATCATTCTCCTCACGACGGGGAATTACCTCAGCAGAGGTAATTTTTTTACTCTACAGTGTATCTGAGGCAATTTTTTTACTCTACAGTGTACCTGTGTGGATCACTACATCTCCCGGTGTGCGCTGGTTCTCCTCACGACGGGGAATTACCTCAGCAGAGGCAATTTTTTTACTCTACAGCTTATCATTCTCCTCACAACGGGGAATTACCTCAGCAGAGATAATTTTTTTAATCTACAGTGTATCTGAGGCAATTTTTTTACTCTACAGTGTACCTGTGTGTATCACTACGTCTCCCAGTGTGTGCTCATTCTACTCACGACTGGGAATTACCTCAGCAGAGGCAATTTTTTTACTCTAGAGCGTATCATTTTCCTCACGACGGGGAATTACCTCAGCAGAGGTATTTTTTTTTACTCTACAGTGTATCTGAGGCAATTTTTTTACTCTACAGTGTACCTGTGTGGATCACTACATATCCTGGTGTGCGCTGATTCTCCTCACGACGGGGAATTTCCTCAACAGAAGGAGGGGTAGTAACCCCGTCAGTTACCTTTCAGGAGTACGTCGCAGTTGAAGCAGCTATAGACACCCCGCGATTCCAATCGGACGATCACCCCATTGGGGCCCTTGCCGTGGTGGGTGACGGCGAACTTCTCGTAGGGCGGGATGAGGACCTCCCTTTCCTGCGGGAACTGGGAGAGGTCGTAAACAGGCACGCCGTGACAGGTCTTGATGGAGAAGAAGGTGTCCTGCCCGAATTTTTGAGCCACTGCTTTGATCAATGACGCCGAGGCGAACTGCCCGAAGCGGACGGCCTGCTTGTAGTGGGCCTTGAACCGGATGCCTTTGACCCCGTGGAAAACCTCGTAGCATTGGCCCGGAACCTCCCGCATCTTCACCACCTTGGTGAGGAGGAAGTGGAAATCCTTGAAGGGGAATTGGTGGTAAGCCTTTTGGGATTTCCCGCCGATGCGGACGGCCCGGTTGAAGTCACTGTACAAGCCGCCGGCCATGGTGTACGCCACCACGGCCGTGCCATAGACGGGAGGGATGGAGCCGGCGACGCTTTGGCTAAGTTGGGCCCAGTGCCATTGGGCCTTTTGCCAGGTGTCCCAATATTTTGGTGG